AGCCTCAAGCTATCCCCCTGGGTAGAGTGCCCTGGCATCAAAGCTCACAGCAACCTCCAACTCCTGGGCTCAAGCGAGTCTCCTGCCTCAGCTTCCCAAGTAGCTGGGACCACAGGCACCTGCCACAACGCCTGGCTATTTCTTTGGTTGCAGCCGTCAGTCATCGTTGTTTGGTGGGCCGGAGGCTGGTTTCGAACCCGCCACCTTAGGTGTATGTGGCTGGTGCCTTAGCCACTTGAGCCACAGGCGCCGAGCCTGCCCTATTTTTAAGACATGGGATCTTGCTATGTTGCCCAGGCTGGAATGCAGTGGCTATTCACAGGTGTGATTATAGCACACTACATCCTTGAAATCCTGGGCTAAAGCATGATCCTTCCACTTCAGCCTCCCAAGTAGCTGAGACTGGCTGGGTGTAGTGGCTTACACCTATATCCTAGCATTCTTAGAGGTTGAGGAGGGTGGATTGCTTGAGCTAATGAATTCTAGTTTGAGACCAGCCTGAGCAATAGAAGGACCTGGACCCTACTAAAAATAGAAGACTAGCTGGGCATCCTGGTAGGCACCTATAGTCCCACCTACTCAAGAGGTGGGTGCAGTGGCTCATGCCTGTAATCCTAACACTCTGTGAGGACGAGGCAGGTGGATTGCCTGAGCCAGAGTGAGACCTCATCTCTAAAAATAGCCAAGTGTTGTGATGGGCACCTGTAGTTCCAGCTACTTGGGAGGCTGAGGCAAGAGAGTTAATTGCTTGAGCCCAAGAGTTTGAGGTTGCTGTGAGCTATGATGCCATGGTACTCTATCAAGGGTAACAAAATGAGATTACTGTGAGCTATAATGACACAGTACCCTACCCAGGGGAACAGAGACTATGTCTCAACAAACAAAAAAATAAGGCCAGGTGCAGTGGCTCACACCTGTAATCCTAACACTCTGGGAGGCCAAGCCAGGTGGACTGCCTGAGCTCCAGAGACTAGCCTGAGCAAGAATGAGACCCCACCTCTACTAAAAAATAGAAAAACTAGCCAGGCATAGTAGTGGACTACAGGCATCTTGGAAGGCTGAGGCAAGAGGATCTCTCGAGCCCAAGAGTTTGAAGTTGCTGTGAGCTATGATGCCACATCACTCTACCCCAGGTGACAGAGTGATACTCTATCTCAAAAAAAAGAAAAGAAAAAGGCAAGTGGAACTAGAGGCATTTGCCACTGTGTCCAGCTTCCTTTGCCTGTTTTTAGGGTGTGTCGTCTTTTTATTATCTACTTATAAGAGTTCTATTAACTAAAATAAAATCTTAAGTCTCTTCCCCCAGCAACTGTCTGACTGGACCCCCTCTTGCCCAAGCAGATCCTTAAAACTGAGTTGCTAGCCTTGAGAAAGGAGATCAAATATGCATCATCATGCCCACCTCCTTAAAGATGTCCTAAGGCAAAGCAAGACCTACATGCAAGTCTTCAATATACTTCAACCACTTGAGACGACATATCTTAAGCATTCCTTTTCCCTAACTCCTGGGTTTTGTTTTTTTTTAGAAACAGAATCTCACTTTGTTGCTCTCTGTAGAGTCTGTGGTGTCACAGCTCACAGCAACCTCCAGCTCTTGGGCTTTGGTGATTCTCTTGCCTCAGTCTCCTGAGTAGCTAGGACTACAGGTGCCTGCCACAATGCCCGGCTATTTTTTTTTGTTACAGTTTTAACTCCTGGTTTTTTAGACAAAGCCTAACTCTTTCAGCCAATTATAACCTGTAAGCCCCCCCTCTTCCAGATGTCCCACTCTTTTAGGCCAAACCAATGTATATTTTCTATGTATTGATTTATGACCTCACCTGCAATTTCTGTCTCCTTAAAACATATAAAACCAAACTGTAACCTTACCACCACCAGCTCCTTGCTCAAGGCTTCTTGGGTGTGGCTCTGGGTCATGGTCCTCAAATTTGGCTCTTTAAATTGGCTCTGCACCTGTGGCTCAAGCGGCTAAGGTGCCAGCCTCATACACCTGAGCTGGCGGGTTCGAATCCAGCTCAGGCCCGCCAAACGATGGCGGCAAACAAAAAATAGCCGGTGTTGTGGCAGGCGCCTATAATCCCAGCTACTAGAGAGGCAGAGGCAGGAGAATCGCTTGAGCCGAGGAGTTGGAGGTTGCTATGAGCTGTGAAGTCACAGCACTCTATTTAGGGTTATAGCTTGAGGCTCTGTCCCCCCCCCCCCTAAAAAATCTCTTTATTGTACAGGGCTTGGTGCCTATAGTTCAGTGGTTAGGGTGCCGGCCACATACACCAGGTTTGGTGGGTTTGAACCTGGCCCGGACCTGCCAAACAACAACAACTACAACAACAAAAATAGCTGGGTATTGTGGCAGGTGCATGTAGTCCCAGCTATTTGGGAGACTGAAGTAAGAAAATCACTTAAGCCCAAGAGATTGAAGTTGCTGTGAGCTGTGATGCTACAGCACTCTACCAGGGGCAACACAGACTTTGTCTCAAAAAAATATATATATATAAAAACAGAGTATGGCTGTTTTT